TAGCGTTTGAACTAAAGTATCGTACCAAACGCATAATTTACCTGTTAACGCCGAAATCATGGATTTATTTGATGTTTTCTGCTTGATAAGCCCAAAGTAGGCCGAAGTAGTTCTGTACCCTAGGGCGAGTTGACTGTGTTAAGTTATTTTTGAAGCTCCTGCGACCCATCCAAGAATAGCTTGCGACCCGTGACCTTCAGTGAGAGAAGCATGCATGCTAACCACTACGCCAGATTTGTCCCAAAGTTGTGGCTTTTAAAATTGTATCAATGCTGATATAGATCGACTTTCAGTTTTATATTAAATTGGTACCCACACAAAGACCTGTAATTCGAGATTCAATAAGTTTAGAAAGTTCATTAAGGGGAAGTTTACCGCCCCGAGAATGATTTTTTTTCCGGCACGTTTTTTATTTTTCTAAAAATATTGGGAAAAATTATCAAAAATCGAAGAAAATCCGTATTTTCCTTAGATTTTAGGGAAAATTTACATGTAAAAATATTGTTTTTATCTCATCATGAAAAAAATGTACCCTCAGCAAAACCGAAAAGTCGTTTGTTTTTTAGTTCAAATGTATGCCACAATGACTTAGAAAAAATGTTTTTGCACGTAAACTTTCTCAGAAAAAAATTGATTATTGCAGATTTTTGATATTTTTTCCAATATTTTTAGAAAAATTAAAACGTATTTTTTTTTTCGGAGAGGTCAACTTACTCTTAATGGTTGCTTTACAGTACTTTTATTAAAACTTCAAAGTTACAGCATTAGATGGTTACATTTCTCCAGTTCGAACGAAATCTCGAACCTTCCTCTTGAAGGAGCCCATCAGAGCAACGCAGCTTCGTCGCTGCTTTGAAATTGCCCAGTATTCATTCGCTTGTCGATCTTGTTGGCAGCATACCACTGCAGAACCACCTTGGAGTAGTGGAGGCTGACTTTGCCCATATGCTTGCGGATGATCGGCAATGCACGCTTTTTTCAGGCATTCTTCGATGTCATCGTCGAGGATGTGACGAAAGGTTCCGTTTTCAGGCCACAACAGTAAATCACTTTGCCAAATCAAGGCCTTCTTCGCGAACTGGTCACAAACACGAACTTGAATCTTCCCTGCACATATCCACGTCCAGTAATGATGTAAAACTTTTGACCGGGAAGCTGCTTAAAATCGAGTTCACGGAATTCTGCTTCATGTCCTGTTTCGGATGTTTACTGGCTTTGTATGACTTGTATCCTTCCCTGGCAAGGATGTTTCACACCGTTTGAATGTTGGCGTTGTACCTTCTGGCCACATCTCGGATCGAAAGACCGGGGTTGACTTTAACGCACCTCAACACCTCGCTGCGCAGCTGACGATCCCTGGTTCCAGTACGCTGATTCTTTTCCATACTCAGGGTTTCCTTGTAGGTTTTGAGCACTTGAAAAACTGTTGTTTTCGGCATCTTCAGTACTTTAGCCAGCTTGGAACCGGACCACTCCGCATTTTCCAGGTGATTGTGCACAATATTTTTTCTTCTTTCGAAATCCATTTGACGTTATTTCTGAACGCGATCGACTACTTTGATCAAACTTGCACCAGTTGTTCTCTATAGAAGTGTGAACAAGTCACTGTGAGGCCCGTAGCCAGCATTTGATTTTGGGGGGAGCTAATTTTATGACATAAAAACTTCAATGATTTATAAAATGTGCGCATAACTAAACATCGAATGATACATTGTTTTTTTTACCTTAACCAAAATCGGTCAAAATCATGTATCATATTTTTTTTCTTTTTTGTTAATTCGTTTTAATCTTTGATCGGAATTTTTAATGAACCATCAGAATGTTAAATAATAATTTTTCAATCTCTTTAATACGCAGTTATGAGAAAAGTAAAACAAATTTATGAAATTCAAGAAAATATTTGTAGTTTTATTTGTTTTCTGTTGGTAATGATGATCAAGATTTGCATTCTGTTAAGAAAGACAAAAATATGTTACATATTTTAATGGTGTTGAATCTTAAAATTACCGGCACCGGATCCTAATTCATTTAAATTTATGAAGGCCGTAAAAACAAACATCCCTCGATGCAGTGGTAGCAATGTGATCCACATAAAACACGAACAGCGAATATTGTTGCCTTCATCATTCTGTATACTTTTAAGTTTTTGTTTTAGCTTGTATTTTTGTTTTGTTTTTGAATTGATCGTTATTCTGTGATATTTTGTATTGTTCCAGTTAGCTATATAAGTGCAAATACTTAATGCAATTAGATTAAGTTTGAATTTGACTTCCGATCAGAGTGCTGCCTGAAGGAGGTAATAAATAGTGAATGAGAAATGTATTCTTTTACTTCATTTGAATCAGTTGCCGATCTCCAAACTGCTGTCCAAAAATCTGAGCAACAAATTAAACACAACGTAGAGCCATATCCTTTACATTATACCTGGTTATTACAAAAGTAATCTTCTAGCTTTACTCTAACCAGTTAATTGATATTATAGCCAAGCCCGAAAGTCGCTGGTTTCCCATTAGTTTTAATTCGTTTCAGTGTGGAGAAAGATCTTTCCACACTGGCTGTAGTGACCGGGAGTGTCACCAAAATCTTCAACAAAACATTGATTGTTGGAAAATACGTCGAGTCTCATTCATCAAGCAGGCCAAATGCCTCAAAATTCTTGTTAATATTTATGGATGTCCGGCACCAGAGCTCGTATTCCACCGTTACCTGCAACCAGCCAGTGATACAAAATATCATGACACTCACGTGACACTCGTCTTCGCATCAACCGACTATCGCTGACAGATCGTTTTGTCACGCAGTGAGAGGTAGAGCCATGGCAAACAATAATCACCAGTGATGGTCGCTGCTCACAAGCAAAACGATGCACACGCTGTTGATGATGAAAAGCACAACGAAAACAGTGAAGAATTCTGCAGTACGATGATGAGAAAAAGCGAAGCGACAGAAGAAAATGAAAACAATGCCTACGCATTCCAAGTTCGTCTTGGCAGGTGCGACTGTGTGAGTTACAAACAAAGCAAGCAAAACGAGAAACGGAAGCTGTTGGGCTCACTCACCAACACACTCAAATAAGCAAGCAAAGCAGCAACTGCTTCAAAACGAGCACATATCAGTGTCGTGATTGTCGGAAATGACCAGATCGGCGATGGATCACAACAGAAAACGACGTTCATTAGTTGCTTTTTACTTCTTTCGTCAACTTGATGGATAGTCATGGAGAGAGCTTCGACGAGCACATTGACAGGAATGTACAAAGCGTTAGTACCATCAACTGTTTGGCGATCGTGATTGTGATAGGTCGCAACCCTGATGTTGAGACCTTAGAACAAATCTAGATAGAGCTGGAATTAGGGCGTAACAGCTTTTATAAACAATGAATTCTCTCGTCGATTTCTAGCAACTCAAGGCACCCCTACACAAATCAACATATCCATCGGGTAGGGGAAGTCTTAACCTATTCGATGATAATGTTGATTTGCCAGGAAGAGCCATGTTTTTCGAGAAATCATCGAGAGAAGCCATTGTTTACAAAAGCTGTTATGCCCTAATTCCAGCTCTATCTAGAAATGTCCAACAAAATAATTAATAATTTTAGGGAAAAATCGTTGCAATCTTTAATTGCAACGCATAATTCCCTTTATACATAGATAAGATATAGTTTTAGTTTTTAGTTTTGATGTGAATTGTTATACTGACATGCAGATTTAGAAGACCTGTTTAAAATACTGAATTTCCAAGGCAGGAACAATGTAAAATCACTTAGATTTATATCATAAAAATTACAGTAGATAAGTTACTAGGTGGCTTGAGCCCCTGGGTTAAAACGAAAAGTAATTTATTTTGAATTTTGAACAATTAAAGAGTTAAAATCTAAATAGACACAATGTGTGACTCTTTATTAAATCCAATGGTACATATGGAAAGGTAAATAAATTAAGAAGTCATTTTATGTAGCAACATTCTATTTTGTATGAAATCCTGCTTGAAAAAGAGGGGTACAGTGCGGATTGTGTTAAGAAGGCTACAAATTGGGTCTATACCCTAGTTCCTACGGAAGTGAAACGAGGCTGATCTTTCATAAAAACTCGATGGTCCCATGATCTTTAACAGAATCGCTGCAAACATAAATTGTTCATGCACACTATATAGGTACAGCCCGAGTCCCATTGCCAGAGGGGGCTATAGGCCTGAAGCCTCGTCCATAAATTATTTTAATATAATATGAAAAATAAAAAAACCTTATCCAGGTAATAGATATCTATTACCTGTACAGTACAAGTAACAGATATCCATCATCTTGGGTCAGATTTTTTTTTCACATTATTATAATAATTTGGGGAGGGGGCTTCAGCCCCATAGCCCCCCCCCCCATGGCTATGTGCCTGGACTGTCAAAGATTTTTGATTCCCAACACTAGAGGCGTACTAGCGGCGCACGAGGGACGTACCAATTTACTTTTAGTCAGCCTTCAATCTCCATTGATTTTGAATAAAATTTGCACAGCAACTACCAAATGCCGGACATATTTTGAAAACATAATAGTTTACTTGGTTTTCATGCTGGTTGTCAGTTGTGCACTATTATTATTAAAATACAAACAATTTAAGTGTGCCGTGCCATATTTTTAAATTGGGCCTCGGAAGGCTTGGTACATCATGTCGGAGTAGGAGCACTGGGTTCTATTCTCGATCCAGTCAAAGGCATTATTGGGTTGGAAATTTATCATTGTGCTTGACACACAGTTTATGAATGCAAAAAATGGTGAAGGCTTAGAAAGCTCCCAATTAACAATTACTGTGAATTTGCCAAAGTAATACAAAGATGAGGGTAGATATACAAATTCCAGATGAGAGGTAACGATATTTCGTTTACAGATTATTCTGCTCCCCATTTCTACGTTATTAATTCCCACGACTAGGGTATGAATAAAAGTTTGCAGTATTTCTACTCAAGCATTTTTTATATCCTTATTAAGGAGACTTTCAGCAGAAACTTACCGTAGTTAGAAGGCACTGACTTTCCCGAAGCGCACCGCAGTATCCGAGAAAACTGAGGAAGAACATCACCGCTCCGATGGCGATCAGAAAGTACGCCAATTGTTCTATCACCGCTGGTTGAGTAAAGTGCTGAAATTGAAGTCAGAGATGTGGTTAGTACAATTGATGAAACCTATCAAATTTAAACTAGAAAAATGTAAAATGAAGATGAAGCACGCAGCATGGCCGTTTGACATAGTTTGAACATTTCGTAATCCTCTCAATGTCTACAAACGTTTACAGGCATCATTATACAAGCAGCGCGTGGTGTTCACATTTAAATTAACGTCTATGGAATATTGTTGCATGACGGCGTCGGATTAAATATGGTTCGTCATTTTTCGCCATATGCATGCAAGCAATACATTCTCGGCTAAACGCGACGTTTGCATGTAGGCTGAGGAAGCAGTCAGTGTTTTTATTTTGCTCAAGAATAGCAACAGACACAGCTCGTTATGTGGAGGATGTTACCAGTATATTTTTTTTTATAAACAATCAACAAAAAACATTCAATTAGTGTGCCGGTCTGTCTATGAACTCTGAAGCATGTATGGTACCATAATAACACTATTCTTTTATTGACATATTCCGCTTATGGCTGTTCCGAATCTCATAACCTATTAAAAGGATCCATCATAAACTCTTGCTTTTCAATAATTGAAATACCATTTCGTCAGCTGCTCAAATTGTGCGCTGGGTTTTTTGTTCAGATCTATCAAAAAACCGCGCCGTTTAATGCATTTTCAAATCCCCATTGTACCAGATGGTCGTAGTGGTCTGACTCGTGGACTGCAGCAAGTTCAGCTGAGACGTTTGTCAATTTAAAATTTATGACAACCACCAGAACCGGCAAATGGACTTGGCAATAAGCAAAAGGTGAACAACATTTCACTCCAGGCGGGTCTTGCACTGGCCTGAAGGCCCATTTTCCTTACGTTCTTTCTCGTATTGCAATTTAGTGGTGTGACTTGTGGGTGGAGGGTGGTGGGCAATTATGAAGGTTTCAGTTTAAATTTTAATGTTTCTACGGCAAGGTCTTTTGTTGAAGTGTTTTTCCTCGGGCATTGGTCATTGCTTTGATTTTGATTGAATCGATGAAAAAGTACGGCGCTGTTTATTGAAGAATGGTCCAAGAATCAAGGAACAAAAAAGAGTAAGAATGAGAGAGAGAGAGAGAGAGAGAGAGAGAGTGGGGAAATGTACTGTTTTTTTTTGCACTCATTCTATAGCTATTGTAATAGCACTCGGGTTGCAAGGAATTCAGGCACATAAGTGACTTGAAGTTTAAATTGCATTTTCATGATTTGATATGCAAATAGAGGTTTTTTTTTTCACTCTGGCCACTTACTCTTGGTCTCAGTTGAGTTGGTAGGTAATTGCAGTGCAAGGGTTTTTTAACCTACAGGTCAATATACTGGAGGTGTTGCCATCATGGTTATGTATTACAGGTCACGATTTTTCGGTATGTTTCTAAACTAATCTGTTTTGCAAGAGAGAACTTAAAAAAATACTAATGAACTTCTCGATTCCTATTTACTAATCGAGTTTTGTTTTGCTTATGCACACAAATGACGTATTGCCTAGATGTCCCTACTATCAGCCTATTTGTATAATAAATTTTGAGCATGGTCACACTTCTATAGTTTTAGGATGAACTCATAATTTATTATACATATACATGTTTATAGTTTGTCATACAAGTGCATCAACGGCATAAAGGTTTGTAATATGGGGCCATTTAGGCCGACATTACATCCATTTCCCCTATTTGTCATTCCAATGCGTAGGCCAGCAAACGAATTTTTTCAAGGGTGACCTTCAAAAACTTACCCGTCATAAGACTAAATTCTTCATTATTTGTGATTTTAATGCAATAATGACCAATAATGGAATCATGGAATTATGTTCAGTGCAATTACAATGGTAATATTCTGTTCGATGATTGTTCTGCAGGTTATTACACTATTCAATATCCAAACAGCCCAAAATACTTTTCTTCAGCAAGAAACTCTCAACTGTTGACTTGGTTTTAACTAATTCATGTCAACTTTGTAGCCAATTGACCATGCCATGCTGACTTCGGTTCTGATCACCTTCCAGTAACATTTTTAATACCACAAGAATTTATTTATAATCTCAACAGCTCTACTTTCAGTAACCATAGAGCTGATTGAGAGCAATATCGATCATAACTTCGATCCAAATATTCCTTGGCAAACTAAATATGATATTAGCGGCGCCGGTGGTGTAGTGGTAAGCATGATTACCTCTCACCCCAGCAGGCCTGGGTTCAATCCCAGTCGGCGCCACTGGGATGTTCTGAGGCATAACATCTCTGATCACGCCTTCCTTCGGAAGGTTTTTTTTTTTTTTAATCTTTATTTTAGAGATTTTTAGCCTGAGGCTAGTTCATCTCTTATTCCTTCGGAAGGGAAGTAAAACCGTTGATCCTCGGTTCATGAGTTGATGGGTCGATAGGTAGGGTCCAGGTATGGGAGCTGCCTCCCTGGCGTCGGTAGCATTGGTGTTCAGCACGGAAAACAAGATCGACGGAAAACAAACCAAAGGAAAAAAAAAAAATGTGATATTGAGGGAAAGTTTGCCACCCTAAAATATTCAGCAATAATACACAATAGTAATGAAAATCTAATACCACATCTGCTGTAAAATTGTAATCTGCAAATTAACTGCCCATTTTGGGGGCAAATTTGGAACATTTATTGCTCTTTTTCAAAGAAAAAGTTTAGCGAAATTTACTTAATTTTCGATTTCTAGGCGCCACGATCTTGCCGTATTATTGCCCTAATGAAAATCTCAAGGGGGATGACTCTATCTACGATGCAGAAAAGATTGCGTTTTGCTGTGGCTAGCTGCACGCACCCTGAGTAGATAGAAGGAAGATTCATGTCGATTTTGAAAATTTCCTGCAAAAAGATGAAGCGCGAGGCAAGTAGATGCGAGAAATAAAAGATGATTTTTCGAAGATTGATTCGCTAGTGTGTGATTTTTTGAGCATCTAGAATTGAGATTTAGATGTGTCGCCCCCATCAAAAAATCTACAGAGCTATGTTCATAAAAAACCTGATAATTTCATGAATTGAAAGGACTTAACTTTTTGAAACATGCTAGTATAATAAATGAATATCACACTTTTCACTCTTTCTGCTAATTTAAAAGATTTAACGCTTTTAGCGCTTTATATCTATGAACCGAACATTAGGGACGTATTGTTGATGCTTGTTTTCAATTATGGCCTACAAACTTAATTTGATAACTTTGTTTTGGTATTGGTGAAACCATTCACGTTGACGACGACTCTGCAACTGTTCACTCCTATAGGAAACCCCCATAAGCAAATGTCGAAATTCGTGAAACATAGCGGATTGTTTCTTATCCTTTCAGGCCACTGAAAAATCCCAGGCAAAATGTTAATCTTTGCTTGAAAGGAGGGTCTACAGATTCTCTTAGTAGATTTTTTCTTTGCATCCTCACGGCCATGTATGGATACTTCCAGCTATTGCCAACACATATTCGATAAAAGAAGCTATTATCTAGCATCTAATATGGCAAACTCGGCAAGAAACGGATTTGTACCCAAGTTATTAACGAAAGAGAAAGTGGACGAGGTGAATCGATCAATGTTACTAAGGAGCTAATGCATTGTTCGGCTTGATAGTTTTTTGTAGGGCCTATACGGTAAATGAATATGACTCATATTTGAATCCCGATCACTCAAATTCGCAAAAACGTAAGTCACTCATAGAATGAGTGATTGTTTACTCAAATATGATTAAACGGCACTCATATATGATTAAATGTCACTCAAATATGAGTGACATTTAATCATATTTGAAGAAAAAACTCATTCTACAAGTGATTTGCGCTTTTGCGAGTTTGAGTGAACGGTACTCAAATATGGGTCAGTCTCATTCATTTGTTTTGACGGGAGTATTGATTGCACGCTATTCCTAAACAACCCAAATTCGTGAAGGATCTACTCATATTCGTCAAAAGTGGGGTACACCAAATTGAGTAAACAAAGTTTAGACTAACAAGATGACGAATGGAAAACATCGACCCAAATCCAAACGATTTTGTCATATGTTATCTTGTCAGTTGCAACTTTGTGTGTTCAATTTTCGGTAACCCTACTTTTGACAGATATGAATAGATCCTACTAAAATTTGGATTGTTTAAGAATAGCGTGCAATCAATACTCCCGTCAAAACAAACTTCACGGTGAATGAGACTGACCCATATTTGATTACCGTTCACTCAAACTCGCAAAAGCGTAAATCACTTGTAAAATGAGTTTTTTTTTCTTCAAATATGATTAAATGTCACTTATATTCGAGTGACATTTAATCATATATGAGTGCCGTTTAATCATATTTGAGTAAACAATCACTCATTCTATGAGGTTCTTACGTTTTTGCGAATTTGAGTGATCGGGATTCAAATATGAGTCATATACATTTACCGTATAGGCCCTAAAAAAAACTATCAAGCCGAACCATGCATTAGCTCTTAAGTAACATTGATTGATTCACCTCGTCCACTTTCTCTTTCGTTAATAACTTGGCTAAAAATTCGTTTCTTGCCGAGTTTGTCGTATTAGATGCTAGATAACAGCTTCTTTTATCGAACTATGTGTTGGCAATAGCTGGAAGTTTCCATACATGGCCGTGGGGATGCAAAAAAAAAATCTACTAAGAGAATCTGTCAATGTTACTTAGAAGCTAATACATTGTTCGGCTTGCTATCACTTGACTTTACAGTTCGTTATATGTGTAGTCGTGAGATGATCTATTTGGCTCGTGATTTATGTTATCTGGATCAATGGAAAACACTGTCTCTTTCATCCTCATCAGTTTTAACGCGAGAAGTGTAAGTGATGTCAACAATGTAGCATGAATGATAAAGAGTGAAAAAGAAGCGCGATTCCACAGGCCGATCCTTTGTAGATCGAGGTTCATCTTCGATAGGACGAAGTTTCATCCATTTATAGACCCAATTTGAGTACAGTAGACCGACATTACATCCACGTACCTGGAATGTTTTCATATTAAAATGGTGAGATTAAACAATTT